ATCATCATCATCACATTCTTGAAAGGAAAGAGATTAAGATTTGCTTATGAATTCCAGGTGAATTCGTTCCTTAATTCTTTGTGAATACTTGTAAATCTTGAGTAGGTTTCTCAAGTGGTAAGGAATTCTTGTAGTGGGTTTCTACAAGGGGTGCTTTCTTGAGGTCAAGAAAGTGGTTATCTTGAATGTAGGAGTGTATGCATGTGTGGTATGCTTGTAAAACTTCTTCATTAAGATAGTGGAACAAATTTTGACAGGTTATGATTGAGGACTGGATGTAGGTCACATGTGGAGTGGCTGAACCAGGATAAAAGACTTGTGCAATCTTCTCTTACCCTTATCTTTTACTTTGTGTAATATCTTGGTTGTATATTGAAAAGATTGTTCTTGATTAACATGTTTTCATGAGCAACATTGGTTTGAACTGAATCAAAGTATTACATATTGTTCTTAACTTTGAATCTCATTATTGGTTAATCAAGAAAGCATATAGGATTCATTCTTCATTAACAAGTCTTTAAGAAACTTCTTTGAAAATTCATTTTAGAAAAATTTGAATTGAAATAAAGATCCTAAAAACTCTGAAAATTTTTAAAGTGTCATAGAATCCAATTAACCCCCCCTCTTGGATTGAGCCATTCTTTTCTAACAAGTAGCTTCGCGCATTTCTAGGAGAATGTCCACATTTTCAACGTTTCCAGTTTGTGCGGCCATTGCAGAGGAAAAATAGGGTTTCTGAGATGAGCGATTAGGGTTTAGAGATTTGGGACAGAAATGAAGAGTTTTAAGTTTCAAAGATATGAGGCGTAGGGAGTACGTTTTCGAACACGAGGGAAGATATAGAATTTTTGAAATAGAAGAATAATTTTTGTTTTTATTTTCCTTATAATTCGCATGACATGGCGCCCTTTTGCCTTCCTTATGTAAAGTGTCGTGCAACTCACATTAATTTTAGGTTCGAGGATATTTCTTTTCAATTTAAATGCCAAATGGCGTTTTGTTACTTTTATTTAACCAAAATTAATTCTTTAAATGCGGAGAATGTTTGTCTCCGACTATCCTTAACAGATTTATTTGTCTTTTAATGAGGGTCATTACTTGGGAATATGATAGGCTAAATTTTTAGACGCAAGAGTCGAGTATTTAGACGCATAGGAAATCACTTAGACAATTCATCAGACTAAGATTCTCAGACGTAGTAATTTCTTACTGCATTCTGAGGAATATTCAAGCACTAAAGTTCTGTCATGCTTGTTTTTTTTTATTATATTTTTTTTGTATTCCAGATGAAACTGAAATAGTGATGACATCAATATTCTAAAGTATTATGATAAACAACACTTGCAACATTTAGCGTATACCTTAATGAGGTAAAGAAGGTTATACTTACTCAGTTAGTTGATTCTCTTTTTCTTTGTCTGCTTTGGTAATCCTTCGTTCTTCCGTGGATCGTTGTATTCCCCTGCATTGTTAGATGCTCAACCTAAGGGGTCAAGCTCTAATACCAATTGTAGTTAAACATGAAACACATAAATGGGGAGTTGAATATGTGTGTGTGTTAGTACGAAGGAATTTTATAAACATTTTCGCAAGAGTAATGTTCTTCGTCCAATGTACTTTTAGATACCAGATGGTTATGCAGAATTTGCTTAGCACAAGGTCATTGCGTCAGAAAGATTTATCGTCTACGGAAGGAAAATGTTTCATATAACAATAATGATTGAAACTCTTGCATTTTCCTTTTTAAGATAGTTTCAGTTAAGGATAAGTAGTAGATAAAGCTTTTCAATGTAATATATTTGTTAAACAAAATTTGCATCTTCGTTTGAAAAGTAGTTCAAAAGAAGAATTGACAATAGACGAAGTTTTCAACATGATTTGTCAATTAAGAAGAATTTGCGTCTAAAATATAGATAAAATAATGTAATCATTTTTATACTGGTTCGCTCAACTAAGCTACATCCAGTCTTCTTCAATTGAAGGGTTCCACTAGATATCAAAATGAAGAACATTTGAGTATTATCGTCCACTCCTGAACCTGAGTATTCTCGACCACTCTTCCCATCAACCTCACTTGTCGACGTTAGTATTCTTTAACCACTTCTGGTTCTCCAAGTATTCTTGACCACTCATGGCCCGCCAGCTTCACTCACTAGTGCTAGTATTCTTAAACCACTTCTGGTTCTCCAAGTATTCTCGACCACTCCTGGCTCGCCAAATTCACTCACCAACGCTAGTATTCTCTTATCAGTCACTTCTGGCTAGCAGTGAGTATTATAGACCGTCCAGGTCAGAACCACTCCTGGCCCAAGTATTCTCGACCACTCCTGGCCTGCCAACTTCACTAACCAGCACTAGTATTCTTTAATCAGCCTCTTCAGGCTCGTAGTGAGTATTCTTTGACAAGCCTCTACAGGCTTTACAAGTATTTTTTCGCTAGCCAGGAGGACAAATGTGTGAAGTTTGTGACTAGTCTTCGCCCTGAGATTAAACAAGTTTTCAATTATCAAGGGATCACTCATTATCATGAATTGGTAAACAAGTGCCGAGTATATGATGAGGAAAACTGTGCTAGGGTAACTCACTATAAGAGTGGAGGACCCATGAGGAATCATAATAAGTTTGGGTCATCTAGTAAAGGTAAACCTTACACCAAGTCCGTCGGGAATTTGAGTTCTAAAGTGAATAATCAAGATTCTGTGCAACAAAGGAGTCAAGCTAGCAAAATTTCTAGAGGAGGGAGTGTGGGTTCTGTTCCACACAACAAATGCTTCAACTGTGGAAAGCCAGGGCATAGGGCAATTGAGTGTCGGATACCAAGAGCAATAACATGTTACAACTGCCAACAGAAGGGACACAAAGCTAATGAATGCCCCAATAACAAGAAAGGAACAACAGAGGTTGGAGGGAGTGCTAGTAAACCTAGAGCGACAGGAAGGGTGTTTGCCTTGAGTGGTGTTGAAGCTACTCAATCCGAAGACTTAATCTAGGGTATGTGTTTCATCAATGGAACTCCTCTAATAGTTTTGTATGACTTTGGTGCGACTCACTCTTTTATATCACATGCGTGTGTGTCCAAATTAAAATTACTTGTTTCTTCCTTGTATTTTGAATTAATAGTAGAGACACCAACTAATGGTTCAGTGTCTACTTCTAATGTCTATTTAAAGTGTCCTTTGATTATTGATGGTAGAG